GGAGAGAGGAATTGGGTTTCTTCATTGCAGGTGAAGGCGCTCATGAGGACTTTGGCATAGGTTTGGCAGACTCTGGTTTGGCATCATGAGCCCTGGCCCAGCTCTTCAGCTAACAGCACAACAGCTTCAGGCTGAGCCTGTCCAGGCCTCCTCCTCCTCCTCCTCCTTCAAGCTTGTGACTGGGGCTGTGACATTATCTTCTTGTGTTATGTTCTAAAAGGACTTTACCCAGTTAGATGACCTTGCCTTCATGTTCTAAAACTGAACATCAGAAAGTTGTGAAAACAAATGGGAACAAACAGTGGTGTGTGGCGCAATGGGTCAGTGCATCTACCTCTTAACCAGAAAGTTGGTGGTTCGAGCCCACCCAGGGATGGCTGGGAGCAGGATTTCTGCATTGCAGAAGGTTGGACTTAGATGACGTTTGGGGTCCCTTCCAACTCTGCAGTTCTGTGACTCTACCATTCTATACCTATGTTTGGGAGGAGGGACCATTGCTTGTGTTGCATAGCTTCTAATCGAAGAAATGTGAAGATCCGATTTGACTGAACATAATCCAAACTTTAAGAATGAATAAAACTTTTACTGAGATCCAAAACAAACAAAAAAACAACCACCACCCTCTACTTAAAAATGCAATTGTAAATGAGTATACACATTTGGTGTAAGTTTAGCCAAATGTATTGAAAAATAGTATTTCTCTCTACTGCACGCTGTCCAGAAATCAATACTAGACTTTCTTTGAAATCAATATGTATTATAGTAACCCAACAGAGTAGACATATATCCTGGAATGGCTCCATCATCTTTTAATGTAATTCAAAGAAGGTTCATTGATTTTTTCCCCCATTATTATCATTCTGTAGTTAAGGGGTGAATTTGAGTATCTCTGTGCATTCTCTTTTTCTTGGATGAATAAATGAAACACGTAGTGTGGACACATTTGTGAAAAATTACAGTGTGGCACTTCTAAAAATGTGAAGTTAACCTGTGCAGCATAAACTTTTATTGTATGTCTTTTTCGGTTCTACTCTGAGGTCCAACCAAGGAGTAACAGGCACTCCTTGGGATTGCAAGCTGGCACATCAAAATCACTGGTGGAAATCCAATTAGGAGATGCTGTGCAAAAGAAACCAAATTTGTTGCTGGTGCTTAAGACAACTACCGACTCTTCAGCAAAAGTTTCATGTGTAAAGAGTAGCACTAGAACAAGTACGATTGTACATCAGATTGATGTGGAGTATATTCTGTGCTATGGCAAACCCCATTCCAAGAGGACATCAACACCAAGTACAGTAGCTGGTCCAGAGTGAAAGGTGAACCCTCTGCTAGTGAGAACATCACTTCCAATCAACTGGAAGAATCCTTTATAAGGATGGGATGATCTGTCCATATCAGTTCCCTGCTTCTCATTTTTCAAATCCAAAAGCCAGTTCTTCACATTTCTACGGTGCTTTGCAATTAAAAAACAACACTCGTGACAATTCTGCAGCATTCTAATGTGCAAATTCCTCCTAATACATTTTTGTATGCAGTTTTGACTAATGCACAAAATTCTGCAAGCCATTTCTCCTAATGTAATGCATTTTTGTATCCTATATTCACTAATATGCTTATTTTAATGCACACTTTCACTTGTTGTTTTTTGAAAAGCTGGTTGGAGAACTGCAATGCAAAATTCAGCTAAGCGTGAATTTCAAAGGATGGCTGCCTTTTGTTCCTCATATTGTTTGGCATTTAATAGATTCGGCTTTAAATGCAAAGAGAATCAGATCCTTTCCCCACCCCCACCCCCATCCCTGGTATTGTACAATAGGTTCATAGCCAGTCTTCAATAGATTTTTCTTATGATTTCAGCAGCAAGATTAAAACAATTGAATAGGTAGTGAGTAGCCTAGATTATAGAAAATTGTCTCCAAAGCATTTACCGGTAACTATGATGGACTTACATCAGTATCATTAAGGCCAGAGCCACCCCCAACCCCGATGTAGGATGAAGTGCCCACCTTAGGCAATGGAAGTGCAAGAGGCAGTGCTCTGCCCACCTGCCCCACTGCTGCCGCCGCCAAGAGGGAGGTGTTTCAATGGGTGCCAGTGCCACTGGCCTTCCGTGCCTCCAGGTGGAGAAGCCAAGTGGCAAGACTTGGAGGAGTGTCCTAGCTCCTGCTAAGTTTGCTAAGAGTTGGGGCACATCAGTACAGTGGTACCTCGGGTTACATACGCTTCAGGTTACAGACTCCACTAACCCAGAAATATTACCTTGGGTTAAGAACTTTGCTTCAGGATGAAAACAGAAATCGTGCAGCAGTGGCACAGTGGCAGCAGCAGGCCCCATTAGCTAAAAGTGGTGCTTCAGGTTAAGAACAGTTTCAGGTTAAGAACGGACCTCCAGAACGAATTAAGTACTTAACCCGAGGTACCACTGTAGCGGAATTGCAGGGCAGTGGGGGGACCAGAAGGCTGCAATACTGTTTTTCCCCTCTGGTGATGAAACAGGACAGGTCGCCCTTGATTAAGATACCTATTTAGTTACCTGGACGCAATCCATATTGAAAACAGTGGGGCCTACTTCCAAGTAAATATGCATAGGCTTGCACTGTTAGGTTCCAATATAAAGCACAGGTTGAGTCCGCTCCTAAATAGGTTTAGTAAGACTTCAGTGGAATTTAGGATTGCAGTCTTATCTGCATGCAAATCAGTTTTACCCACTGAAATTGAGACTGTATACAAAATATATGTGATTAGGAGTGAGCATCTACTTAGGAGTTATTTCCATGGGGGGGGGGGGCAATAACATGCTTCCAAGAAAATATTGTTAGGGTGATGGTATCAATGCACTGCCTTCTTAAGTGTGGTAGGAGAATGTAATCTTTTGTGGAAACACTCCAAGAGTTCAGTGATTAATGACTTCAGAATTTCTTGGACCAGGAGAGATAGTACTGTATATTTTGCAAACTGAAATACCTTTGGGGACTTTCGTTTCTCATTCCAGCAGAGCTGTACTCCAGATCATTTCATTTGACATACTTGTTGCCAAAGATGATTCATGAGCAGTAGATCTAGCTAAAGGTTATTTCCTGGAGTTTATGGTGCTCAAAGCATCAGATGGAGATAGATTTTTACACTGAAACTCCTCGTGTTATTATACAAAGGAAGGTTTTTTATCCAGACTTCAGTTATGCTGACTTCAGTTAGCTGTACTTCATTTGGACTTGACACATATGTAACCATGTACCAAAAAATAGACAAAGATCATGCCACTTTTAATAACAATAATATTATTGGGTTTTAGAAATAAGGAATATAAGAATCATAAATGATACAAGTAAATAGACCAAGTCTTTCATGTCATTTGTATATCACATAGTTCAAATGGCAAGCTATCAGTGCAGGGGCATCACTTTAGTTTTCACTGGATTAACCACCAAACCAAAAGTCTTTTAAGAGATAACAGAGGGAAATGTGAGAGAATCCTGCAGCTGCCTTAAAGATTTATATAGTTTTACAGTGCAGTTTGATTAACGGTGAAGTCCTCCTTGGGCTCTAGCTGGCTGACACTCAAAGCTGTCATTATGGGAACTAAATTAATGGCCAACACTATGATTGAGAGCTCTATAGCATGAGGCTGTGATGCGCGCACACAGGTGCTCCATGGGAGTTTGGGCTGACCCATCCCCTTCAGCAACAGCAATAAATCTGCTAGCACATTTGCAAAGCTAAGCAGGGTCCAGTATGGTTTCAAATTTGATGGGGAACTGCATGTTGAGATCCCTGCATTGTAGGGGGTTGAACTTGAGAGACCCAACTCTAAAATTCTATGATTCCACCATCAGAAAGGATGTAACTAGGAAGAACAATTTGGGCTGTTACTCAGTGGGTTACAGCTGAGCCTGTGGGAAAGCTGTTCCTTGAATTAGCTGAATACTTTTATGTATCAATATAATTTCTGACTGTTTAAAAAAGCTGTGACCTTCACTGTACCTCTGACATAGGTAGGTTACAAATTCCAGTAAACATGCTGGTGAAAATAGAAGTACAATACTAGTCTATTGATGCTTATATTTACTTGGGGGGGGCAGTAATATGCAGCAGGCCTTCTCCTAGTAGGTGTAAATTGTGAGCTGTTAAATGATTGGCATCTGCTGAGACTTTGATTGCTATTTTGACACCATTAATGTTTTATGCAATGGTGCATAAAGTTGGGAATGCTTTTGATGAGACCCATTCCTCTGCTTATACTTCTTAGGGCTTGTCTTGGATTAGCCCAATGCAGAGGTTTCCAGGGCTGAATTGATGAAGTGAAAAAAAGAAATGAATACAAAAATGTGTTGTGATTACTTGACCCTTAGAACCAACTCCTGACCTCCCAGACATTATGGCATAATGGAGGGGACTGCGTGGGACACTCTTGCAATCTAGTTTAAAACAAGGGATACAGATAGGGAGAAAGCAACATATTGCTGCATATTGCTCCAAACTCTGTCTCCAATGGAGTGAATAAATGCCATCAGGAGTTCAGTTCTGTGAATGTTTAATTTTTAAAAATATATAAACGTATTTAACATATTATTACCTCCCATGAGAAGTGGTGGACTCTCCTTCCTTGGAGGTTTTTAAGCAGAGGTTGGAGAGCCATTTGTCATGGATGATCTAGTTGAGATTCCTGCATTGCAGGGGGTTGGACTAGATCAGTGGTTCTCAACCTGTGGGTCCCCAGATGTTGTTGGACTACAACTCCCATCATCCCTGAGCTCTGGCCTTGTTAGCTAGGGGTGATGGGAGTTGTAGTTCAACAACATCTGGGGACCCACAGGTTGAGAAAGGCTGAACTAGATGATCCTCTGGGTTCCTTCCAACTCTACAATTCTATGATTCACTGTCGGAAGCAGTCTGCCTCTGATTAACAGTTTCTGGGAATCGCAAGTGGAGAGAGTGCTGCTACACTCAGGTCCTGCTTGCAGGTTTCCCAAAGACATTGTATGGAATGGACTGAGGCATAGGGAAGGACTGTAGGCTCAGTGGTAGAGCGTCTGTCTTGCAAACAGACTCTTCCTGGTTCAATCCTTGGTGTCTCCAGGTAGCACTAGGGAAACCTTCTGTCTGAAACCTTGGAGAGTCAGAGTAGACTTTACTGAACTAGATGGACCAATGGCCTGACTCACTATAAGACAGCTTCCTATGTTCCTATATGGCTTGCCACTGTGAGAATAGGATGCTTGACTCAACAGGTCTTTCACCTGATATGGTTGGAGAAAATAGCATATTGGGGTCTATATGGTGACTCCAGATCTATGAAATGCCTTCCCAAGGGATATACTGTGTTGGTGTAATGTGAACAATGGGTTAAATTACACAATGCCTGGTCTCACTTCTTGACTGGGAGCAGGATATCTCTGAATTATAGTAATAATTTTATTATGTATACCCCACCCATCTGGTGGAAGACTCGGTTGGGGCTCTGCATATTCTGTTGATACATCACACTAGCTGAGGTGCAGTGAACTACCAACTGACTTCCACAAGTAGTTTGTTAAGGGTGCTGGGAATTGTTGCTGTGAGATCAGTGCTCTTAACAAACCACAGTTCCTAGGACTCTTTGGGGGAATTCATGATGCAATATGCTGCATAGTGGGTTCCTCCTGAACATTTTTCAGAAACTGCAGCCAGCAGAAAACATTGTTACTTCAATTGCCCCTCTCGGCTCCTCTTTCCAATGCACTTCTTAATTCTGAAAATGGAAAATGAAGTGATCATTGAACAATGACTGACTAATAGGTTAATTTGAAATTTCTTGTCTAAAATATATTTAATCATTTTCCATGCAGCGCATGGTGCAGTCCGTGAGAATCTATCTACATCACAGAACTAATTAGGGAAATCATTGATTCAGCAGAAAATCCACAGGAATCATTAATAATGTCAAGTCAGGCACAAGCCTTTGAGATTCACATGACACAAGCAATGGGACATCCTGGCTGGTAATGAGCCGCCATGGTTTTACAATTGCAGAAAAGAGTTTACTAACAAAATACACTGAAGCCAGATTGCATGGTGTGGCTGAAGTACAACAGCTAAAGAAAGTGTAAGAGACATTTGGAAGGGAAACACAATAATAAATAATAATAATAAATTTTATTTATATCCCGCCCTCCCCAGCCGAAGCCGGGCTCAGGGCGGCTAACAACAATAAAACAGTACAAAAGTACAGCACAAACAACACTCTAAAACCATTCATTATAAAAGAACAAGTGCTTCTCTGGGTTTCTGCCTGTACTTGCAACAGTGGGGGGAAATGGGTGCTAAGCACCATCTAAACTGAAAGCAACCTCAATGCAAATCTACCAAAACATGGTAGATTTTCATGCTGATATTATGAAGACTGTTCTTGAATTCACCATCAAAAAGTCAAGAATGACGATATCCAAATATTATTGGTTGTTCTGTTGGTTGAAGCCGTGAACTTCATTGTCCCTCTATGTTTCATTTTTAAATATATGTATATTATCATGGGTGCCAAACTGCTTTGTTGTTGAATTCTTTCTAACATAAAAAATGCATACAGAAGTGGTGGACAGGGTTGTTGTGTCCTCTTCACATAATACACATCACAAAAGGTTCTGTTAAAAATACCTACTTGTACTGTCATACCTGGGTGAATCTTGCAGAAGCCACCTGAATGTTGAAGAATTTCATTCTTGACTAATCTGAAATATTTATTGTGAAATTCCTAATATGGGTTTTGTATATGCAGGTATTCACGTCTCCAAGATTATTTTGCTGTTTGTAACTCAAAGAAGCATCCTTAGCCAATACAATGCTTTTGCTTCCTCAAAACAAGTGGTTTCACTGGAGAAGGATGCCACTCAAGCTTAGTCTGGGTTTTGTTTCTAAACTGGGCTCAGTTTGCAGCATCAAGGCCAAAGTGCTCATGTTCCATTTATGACAATGAAGTGAAGATGTATTTGAGAAAGCTTTTGTGGTTAGAGACTCCCTACCAGACAGAAGCTGTGTCAAGATTATTGTTTTTCAGAAATGCGAAGGAGTGATGATTGAGCTAATGTTGATTGTGAATATTCACTTTCATTTATTTTCTTGTCCTATGATTGTCTCAGAACTAGAAAAGTCTACAAAAGCTGTTTAGCCAGAGATGACCACAATAGTTCTATTATACTTCCTCCAAGTTTCTGAAAAAGGTAAAGGTAACAGTAAAGGACTTCTGAACAGTTAAGGTCAGTCAAAGGCAACTATGGGCTGCACCACTCATCTCACTTTTGAGGCTGAGGGAGCCAGTGTTTGTCTGCAGACAGCTTTCTGGGTCATGTGGCCAGCATGACTAAACCGCTTCTTCTGTGATGGAAGCCAGAGCGCATGGGAACACCATTTGCCTTCACACCACATTGGTACCGATTCATCTACTTGCACTGGTACGCTTTCGAACTGCTAGGTTGGGAGTATCTGGGACAGAGCAACGGTACGCTTTCGAACTGCTAGGTTGGGAGTATCTGGGACAGAGCAACGGGAGCTCACCCCATCGTGATTGGCAAGCCCAAGAGGTTCAGTGGTTTAGACCACAGTGCCACCCACATACAGGGTGGTGCTGTGGTCTAAACCACTGAAAAAGCATGATTCAGATATACCCAGCCTTCCTGTAGAGCTGGTGTTTAGTATTAGATAGGGATGAACTTTAACTATTCATTTCCCCAATCCTTCAACTCTCCTCCAGCCATTCCCCTACAAGTCTAAATTTCCAAATGTGTACTGTCACTGCCTTCCTGGGCCAGTAATATTATTATTTATTACATTTATTACCTGTTCATCATAAGGTCACAGGGCTGGTTTTAAAAATGCAACATTAAAACCAATTGAAACAAATGACAGTGAAGAGAATAGGGTGGATACTATAATATTTTTGCATGCCACTCCAATGTCCAAGCACTGTGAGATTCCAGAGGTTCCAGGCACTTACCCACAGTTCAGAGATTGTGGTGTCTTTACAATATATGGTTTGTTTACACATATATGCAACCTGAGCCTACGATGGAGGGGCTCACAGCATTAACACCCCAAGAAGTCTTGCTTCTCCCATAGCCAGCCTTGGATTCCAGCAGGAATCAGGCATGGCTCTGTCTCTCAGCTGCCCAGCTTGCAGCCTGCTTCTAGCTTCCTAGCTCACATACCCCACTCTCACCTTTTGACTTTCTAAGTACCAGACAGCTGGGGGGCACATATTTGTCCTGTTGTGCAAAGCTACTTCCTTTCTTACCTTAATGACCCATACTTAGGGGGGCATTATGGTACTTGCCTGGCTAATCTAACATTGAACCCGTGCTGGATCCAGGAATTAGAAGGGACTCAGGCAATACAACCTAACTCTGCACCCCTAAACTCACAATAACATTTATTTGAATTCAAATTCTGCCCTTCCTCCAAAAGGGACTCAGGCTGGCAAACAATTAAAAAACAAAAGCAGATATAGATGAAAACATTTAAAAAACTATTGCAATTAAAAACACACTTCTCCCCAATGATCTTGAGGTTGCCAGAAACGGTATTCTTCTTCAACAAAAATGCTTGGGTAAACAGGAAAGTTTGAAAATTAATCATAATGGAGGCAGGTGCACGTCACTAAGGAGGGCATTCCATAACCAAGGAACCACCACTGAAAAGGCCCTATCATGAGTCAGCACTAACCAGGCAGCCCCTGGTGGCAGCACCACCAACAAGACCTCACCTGCCAGTCATAGGCTCCAAGATACTTGGTACTGGTAAAGGCACCTTTTTAGATTCTTTGGTCCCAAGTAATTTAGAGATTTATATGCTAGAGCTAACACCTTTATTTTGGCCCAGTAGCACACTGTCAGCCAGTGGAGTGCTTTCAGGACTGCTGTCACATGGGCCGCATGGACTTTTGAAGTGATGCAGTAAGGTTCAGTTGTGCTGCTCTTACGTTATTATAACTGAAGGAAGAAAGAAAAACCTTCTCCATTCTGAACCGAAAAACCTTCTCTGTTCTGAACCAAGTGCATGCAGACAAAAAGCTAAGTGAGTCCATTTAGAACTTCCATTACAATCCCATGTGAACCGGGGATAGGCATGAAAAACTATTCAAAGCCAAAGAGTTGAATATAAAAAGCACCTTGTAACCAATAGCTCTCACACTGCTGCTATAATTCTATGCTTTGATGAAATACATCTCACTGAGCCCAAATCATGTACCTGTCATTCATACTGTGGCTTAGAATCACTGAAATAGGACAAATTTGTGCCTTTGCTTTTAATTGACAGCCACAGATACTACTACTACTTTGTTTAAAGCCAATGCTCACAATGCACTCCTGGAGCGAGAGATGAAGATCACACACATATCCATACACTTCTGGCAGTTAGCTACAATGGCGTGTTGAAGAGTGTACTTCGACTCCCCCTAAAATGAAGTTTCCTCACTCTTTACCATTCCAATTCTTATCCTTTTCAGAAAGGATAAGAAAAGATAGGGCTTGCCAGTGAGAGCTAGGTAACAATGGAACTGATCAATTGTCACAATTAAGTTATTCATTATTCACATATAGTGTGGAATCTTAATAATAAAAGTTTGATTCAGAGGTTGGCACACCTTGTAGGCAGAGAAGAGAGAGAAACTAGTTTGTTCTGCATTTTAATCTTGTCAGCATCCATCTGTCTCCAGAGACAATGGAGGTATGCCTCTGGGGATGAAGTCAAACTGCTACACTCACCCAGTTTAGCAGGCCAGTCAAAGCTGTTCTTGTAATGTGGCTGCTGTCGCATGCTGACAGCTTCTAGGAGCCACCTGTGAGAGCTGTGTGCAAAGCTGGACAAAGTACCCCAGAAGGGGAATGGCATGTCCCCCACCAGAGGTCCCCCACCCCTAACACCCCATACACCCTACAGCTTAATGTAGACTTATCTAATTTTCACTTCCCAAACCAATGTGTGGACCATGATGAAGGTATTCTTCAAAATTACCGTATTTTTCACTCTATAGGGTGCACCGGACTATAGGGCGCACCTAGTTTTTAGGGGGGGGGAATAAAGGGGGGGGAATTATCCATCCCACT